TCAAATCGCGTCCCTACATGGCGTGAACATAAAACGATGTGTAGATTTATTCGTTAGATACCTTCGCTCCGAAAATTTTTCCAAAATTGTTTCAAAATGTCGCGAATTATCATTGGAAAGTACAATGAGTTTTAGAGAAAACCACAAATTTAGAACGTAAGATCAAGAAAAAAAACAAGGACCTCTCCACTGACAGGCATAAGGAGTTGCATTAAGCAAAATAATTGCAAAGCAAAGCTAAATCTACATGGTTACGGAGAAGCTTCGCAGGCTTCAACTGAAGCCTTCCGTTCTTTCATGTTCAACATTTACTTATTCTACTTATACTTGCCTGCACAACAAGGTAAATGGTTGTAAAAGTATTTATTTCAAGTGAGCAACGAATAACTCTACACCGTTCATACCGAGCGGTTCAAGAACAATTTAAAGGAAAAAAAAGACATAAACGCTGCGGAACATTGAGTTTACAAACAACTAAGTACTAAAAAAACAAATGGAAAAAGTCTTTCAACCAACCTGAAGCGGCGGTTGTTGCTGAGCATGATGTGCGAATGGTGGACCAGGCCATGAACGGTCCTGGCATTCCAGGAATATGACCGCCCAAAATGCCGGGCATGTATTGCTGTGGTTGTGGGGCATTGCCGCCACCACCACCACCACCACCTCCTCCTCCTCCCCCACCACCACTTCCCAGTATATTCACTGGCTCATTGAATGAGAAACTATCTGAAAATGACTTCAAAAATGATCTTAGCAGAGGTAAAATGGTTGAAAAATCGAAAGGATTGACTTTCCATTAACCTTGTCCATCGAGATCAATTCATGTAGGCATCGAGGTGCCAATGACGTCGACATATGCAAAACTTTCGATCCCAAGCAGAACTAGAACTTGTACGTTCACCCTTTCCGAAGATACGTGCTAATCAACTACACTGCCGAGGTTCCTGCCGTGCCATCACTCTTCTTGTCATGCAAGGTAACGATGTGACAGTTGATTGCTGACAGATCGATACCTTGTATCACAAGAAATGTGATAGTAGAACAGAGGCCTCAGTAGTGCAATTGGTTAGCACGCAGCCCTGAGAGGGTGAGATACGGGTTCAGTTCGTCTGAGATTTATTGCACATCACGCTACATTTTTTGACATATATCATAAAGCTCTCTCATTCAAGTAAATATAAAACAGCTACAACAACAATACATACAAACTGAATGACTTGAACTAACCTAACATACTCATGACCTGTTGTTGTTGCTGATCAATACCAGCGGCCATTATGGACTATGTGAAAGAGCGCAGCAAGACGAACGAAGGCGCAAAACGTGAGCACGAAACGAGGTACAAATGTACTGACCTGAAAATTTTCTACGATAAAAACGAAAAATCTAATTGAAATCTTTATTTATAATGCTTCGGAGAACATTTGATGCCTACGCTCAAAGTCTCGCACGGAACTCAATACTCTTAGGGACAAGAAAAACAAGTCAAAGGAATGACTAGAGATCTAGCTCACCTATTTACTAGATAGGCAGATGAGATCGATGTCGATGGGATGGTGTGTCTGATTCCCGAATCGACCAATTATCACAGAAGTATGTTCAAGTCGATTAGCAAACACAAGTGCTGGTGTCAATACATTACCAAAGCCAGCTCTTCTGAAATAACGCTTGTACTAACAAGCAAAAAAAAAATCGTTCTCAACAATAGGAGATTAAATCAACAGAGCAAAGTGGCGACTTGAAATCCACTACAAAATTCAATTACTAAGCGAAATCACTAGCCGATCATGCGATGTGATCGTGAGCTAAACATCAATATGAATCTGTTCACTGACACTGTAACATTACGATGAGGGGGATGGATAAGAAAATGTTATTTTTCATGAAAAAAGCGTCGCCGACAATCTTCAATTTGATAACATTTTCTAAGTGCTACAATTGATCGATAGAACAACGAATAGTCTGAATTCAAAAGCAGAAGCTATTTGCTGGAAACTGCTGGAAGCACGCACGGTACAGTAGCTAGAAGTGTCCTGCTAATACACATACACCAAGTCGGAAAATGGATCCAGCGTCCAAGGCTCACCAATCTTCCATTCGACAGGGGTCGGTGAATTGGTATTAAGGTTTGTCTGGAAAGAAAGCAACACTGACTTGGTAGATCGGTAGGCTATCGCGGGTCATTATAGAAGCGAAGTATGCATTTAACTCCTTAACAACGATGTTGAAGCCTTTTGCGTCAAGTGACGAGGTCGTATGGCGAGCTACAATGACAATGTGGCACTTTGTGATGATCTAAAATAATTGCAAACAAATGGTTGAGTTATAATAGAATTTCGTAGAGATAGATGGAAGAGACCTCAATAAGACGGTCGGCGCTAAATACAACAGTATTGCTTCTCAATGAATGTAACAAAAATGATTTGTTATGTAAATCCTTTCCTAAGTCTTTGAGCATGCTGTTATGAGAAGTTATCATAAACTGCATGGTGCCAAGAGTTACAAATTTCTTGTGAGGCACTGTTAAAGTGCTAATCGTAGGTGTTGTAATGATAATCCGATATTTGAAACAAATGGGAATAATTAACTAAATTAACCAAACAAATGCCAGATCTGTACGGCAGCGCGCACCATAACATATTTACGCCGAGACACGGGGCGCGGCTTGAGCTAAAAACAGCTCATGCCGTTGTTACATTTTGTACAATGCTGGATGAAGTCAAATGCAAGCATGGTGTATCTCTCAAGGATTTATTAACGTCGAGAGCTCTATCTTTTTGATACATTGGAGGACAATGCACCGAAAAATAGTCCAAACCAGCCATATAAAGTGATCCCATGTTGAGACGGAATAACGCAGAATCTCCTTACTGTTAAACAGAACACTCCTACTTATGCTTTTGTGGACGGCAGTTGATCAATGTTCGCAAGCAGGGCACGATATTCGTTATTTAAAACGATTTTTTTCTTTGTTTCGAGAGAAAACTTCAGTGTTCTCGTGTTACTCCGATAGAACAAAAATTTCTCCTCACGCAAATATAGTTATTTTGTATATATAACTCTTAGAAGCGAAGAACACTGCGAGCGTGGAACGTAATTTTCTTTAACTCTTACAGAGCACTATAAGCACCTTTTCAAAAATCAAATTAATATTCAGAATAGTCGAAATTCGTACTACCGAATGAGAATTTGTATAAAGGATAAAGAAAGGGCAAAGCTGCCGGACTTGATCGATCCCCGAGTGATGCGTCATCATTCGTCTTCCATATGAACTTGGTTTGAGGTGACTGAATGCATATCTGGCCTTTACAATGACTCGCGGTGGCCTCCCGCTGAACCGAGTCAGTGCTGCTTATCCTCCCGAACAACTCTGCGACGAGTCTGGTACCAATTTGAAAACCCCGAAGGGATGGATGGCTTACTGAGCGATGAGCACGAGATCGAACCATCAACTTTGTGTGCGGCACAGAGACTTCTAATCACTTCTCAATAATTGCATAGTCTGATAAAAAGCGATTCACAGACCTAAGCCGAGCAAACGAAGTAAACCGAGTGTGGAACAAATTTCGTTTCCGCTGTTGCAGCGCACCATGAAGGCCGTTTGAAAAGCCAAGCAGTGTTTCGATAGCTTATATTTGAGCTTTCGCATGATTACTATACTTTTACATAGAGAAAACATTATCAGTGAAAAAAGACTATTGGAAATTTGTTGGGTCAAAATGACCCTCACGGTCCGCTAAGGGTTTAGCGGTGTCTAACAAAGAACAATCGTTTCAAAACAACTACAGTGATCCACCGCGAAGATGAGCGATTGCAGAACACTAGCTCTAAGGAAGACAAAAAACGTCGAAGCTTCAGCCGAATAAAGCTCTTTATAACAACCGAGCGTGTGCTAAGAACTCTGGCGAAAACGCTCTGCTCAAAATATGCAATTGCTTCCAAAACAGTAAAATTTCAGCAAAAATCCAATGAAATTGGAATTCAAGACAACTATCCATAAGTGCTTTCGGTCACCGCTGAGTTATAAAGTGAAGAGAATATTGGGTCGGCAAGAAATTTTCCGAACTTTTTCGTTCCTGCTGATTATTTTTCATGCATTTTCAAGTCTCTGATTTTACTATCGCTTAGATCTTCATGCGGTTATTCTGATATATAACACAACATTTGTTTTATTATGGAACTGTCTCAAGAGCAAAAACGGTCGTCAATCTACACGAGTATTGTTTGGTGCTGCTGCTTAGGCACGCAACGATACTCGTGAAGCATCACAATCACCGTTTTTGCTCTCAAGACAATTCCCTCTTGGAACAAACATATAAATGTTATATTCCAAAATAACCACAAGAAACTGTTCTAAACAACTAGTAAAAACCTTAACGTCATAAAAAAATAGACAAAAACGAAGTCCGGAAAAATCCTTGCCAACCCATTACGCAGCACTTGACACACCATCCAATCCAAGAAGTGTCGACAGACACTGTTTGATCGCAATCTGAGAGAACGAATTTTGACAGCTTCCCTCAAAAATATCAAAATTTCAAGTCAAACAGGACGAGTAAACTTGCACTTATTTGACAAGGACCTAGAGACTATAATGGCTTTTAGTTACGTCAACAAAATTCATTACAGGAAATGCCGTCGTTTTGGTTTCGGTGAGGAAGAGGCTATTGTTCCAGCTCCGTATGCAGTAGAATCAGGGATATTTCAGATGTTACAATCTTAGTGAACCTGGTTAGAACAACGTTTGAATGAAACTTCGCAAACAAGCACGAGAAACAAAAAGCTTCACTCTTATGATCCCACATAACGCCCATGAAAATCGGGGTATTTCCGGTGTCGAAGAAAAAATAATGATTGAAGACCCATCAGAACGTCACGCACATGCAAGACGAGATGCCTGCCACACATAAACATTGAAAACTATACTTAAGTGCTCCTTTAGCCGTGTTATGATGTTATGATTATATATCCGATGATGTAGTGCGATAAGCAAAGTTTTGAACTTCAGACGGGAATCGAACCCGCGTTTCACCCTTCAGAGGGGCGCGTGTTAACCAGTTACACTACCGAGGCCCCTTGCTGCTAGCACTTCTGCGATACAAAGCATCTCCGGGAAGGTAGAAATGCGGTTTCAACTTCCGTCAGGATCAAAGTTTTGCATATCTCTCTATGCTATTGGAATTATAATTTATCATATTGCACCAAGCAGAGGTTGGTGACAAAGAGAATTTATTCGGCTAATACTTCGACGTCTTCATCCCCTTCAGGTCGATACGAGTTTCAAAGACGTCGAAACGACAGCCGAAGAAATAACTTGGTTCTTTTCGGTTATGAGAGGAACAGATGAACATTCGATCTCATTCGCTACAAGAGAATTTTTCGTAGGAGCATCAATAATCATTCGAAAGCTTGTATCCCTCGCTTGAGCCACATGCGGCCGGTTTCCGAAAAAGAACCTTTTATAAGGCTTGCAAGTTCAAAATAAAATTATGTCTAACATCGGCTCCTTAAATAACTATTGTTACGCCTTTGAAGCACGAAAAGCACATGAACGCGTAGATAAAACCTTCTAGTATTAAGATCAGACGCTTTATGTGAAGTCTCGAGAAACAATTCCTAATTAAATAACCAAAACCGGAATTTTTATGGCCCGCGGAAGAGTCAATCGATCGACCGACGTGTTGAACGCCGAACGCTCTCCACTCCCTAGAAAAGGCAAAATTACCCGCACGCGTATGTGAACTTGATCTTATTTTCCCTGCTGCACTGCAGAAAAACGGCCTTTTCAAACAAGCATTCCGCTGTAATCTTTAATCTTACGCCATCGATTGATTATTAACAGTCTAAAAAATAGCTCTGTCTGGCTAATGAATATGCACGTGTACAATATAATTTCATTTCAAACTTTACAGCGTTACAAAAGGGTCTTTTTGAAAACCGGCCACGTCCGGTTCTGCGCCAGAAATTCAAACTTTCGTAAGATTACTAACGCTCCTATGAGGAAACCGAATTTTATTACCAACCACGTGGTACAGATTTGAATAACAAAATATGATTGACTGGGTAATACCGAGGTTAAAGTAATGTCGGTTCATGCTGAGAGCAGAAAGTTTAAAAGATTTTTGCACGCTCATACTCATTGAACCAATCCACCTATTCCAAGTTGAAAAACCAGGATACGAATAACATATAGGCATGGTTTCCTCTGAAACAATACTCACAACACTACTATACCGCTAACAGCATAAGAAAACAATATTCCGATAAAAGAGACCAAATACTAGTAGATCAGTAAAATCCAAAACTTTTTCGCCCATCAGAACTGGCTGTAGTTTACAGCTCTATGCTCTAAGACATTCAAAATCTCGAACTTCATCTACTCTATCCTCCCACTTGATTTAAAGGGTTGGCAAGAAAATCTCCGGACTTTTTCATTTTGCTGCTCAATTTTTACGCATATGAATTTTCGTCTTTACTATCGTTTGGAGCGGTTTCTTGCGATTATGTTGATATATAACACTTACACCTTTGTTTTGATATGTTTGTCTCGAGAGCAAGTACGATTGTTGAGGCTACACGGGTATCGTTTAGGTTCAAGTGCTGCTCCATTTCCAGTCTTGAATTCATTGAAACGATTTAGAAGCGCAGTTTTCCAAACTGTTCCGCCACTTCAGGTCTCGTTGATCCAATGAAAAGTTTCAGCAAGACTTGAACCCAAACGATACTCATGCAGCATCAACAATCGCTTTCGCTCTCGGGACAATTCCATATTAGAACAAATGTATAAGTTCAAGAAAAGAATGCTTAAAGCCTAAGCGAGGTTGGTACGTCAGGACCATACACCGGTGTCCGGAGGTCTCGCCCTCCTCGTCAGTGACTCACGCCCCACATTAAGCCCTGCATTGCAGCAAAGAGGGAGGCGTATGTGGTGATGGCACAGTATAGAATGACACTGGTCCATCACCACTTCTCAGTCGATGGATCTCGGCTGGTAGAGCAAAAAATGATCTATGGCATCGACTGTTTTCCTGAAAAACGTTCTCGCAGGGCCTAATGTGGGGCGTGGGTCACTGACGAGGAGGACGAGACCTCCGAAACACCGGTGTATGGCCCTGGCGGACCAATCTCGCTCAGGCTTTGAGCATTCTTTTTCTGAAATTATTTGAATGTTTATTGCGAGGTTTTGGAAACAGACGATGCCATGGATCGAATGTATAAGTGTTATATTTCAAAACAACCGCAAAAAGCTGCTCTAAACGATAATGGAAACAAAAACTTGAATACATGAAAAATAACCAACAAAACACAGAGAGTTTGGAAATTTCTTGCCAACGTAACAGTCTTTTTTCTCACCAAAGGAGAAACCTCACCAGTCCCTGAACTCTGACATCAGGAAACCTATTCAACTAAGAGAGAACAACACTAAATTTCTAGAAGAGAATATCCGCTCTCGACAAAACCTTACTTTTTAGACTGAAGGCTTAGGGGTTAGCGATATTTTACGACACGGGAGAAGCTGCTTTACAGAAAGTCAGAAAGAGGACAAGCCGTGATGGTAGCAATCAACACCATCCGCCATAGAACAACCCCTTGCGACATTAGGTAAGAGTGGATAGATCTATCAGGAAACCAAGCATATAAAATAGTATCTTCGGTAATTTAGCACATGAAACAAGGCTGATAAATTGGTTTCATTAGGCTAACGTTTGGACTCAAATCAATGGCTCTGAAGAAGACAAAGACGTAGGACGAAACGTAAGTCGAATAAAATTTACTTCTGAACCTCGTGGCATGTACTAGATCACAAAGAAATTATCATTGACTGGTAAATCCGGGGTTGATGAAAGTGATGTCAGCATATAGAAAAATGTCATTTACACTTTTCCATTTTCCTTAGACCAAAAGATGAGAGTCGAACGACTGCGCATATTCAAGCTTGAATGTCTCAATGAACATTACCCACTGCTTCGACTACAACTCCTCCAATTTGCTCTGTTGCTCAGAAATACACCTATGTTAACAGAATTTCCAGGTATAGGAAAATTCTTAAGAGAAAAAAGAAAACCAGGAAAAACCAAAGACAGTTACAGTTGGTGGAACTATGATGATTCAAAAACGAACAATCGTGAAACAATATCTATATAAGATATATGGAAAGAGCTATAGCAGAACAGGAGTCCCGAATGTACAATGGGTTGCACGCACCCCGGAAAGGATGAGATGCGGGTTCGAGACCCATCCGAGGTTAAAAGCTTTGCATGCCACTCAATATTTCTGGACTTTTTAATCTTGCACATAAAAACAAACACCGCCTTTAGAACTGAAAACATTCATAACCCAGTATTTCTGCTTTCTGAGGGAACCGAAATCTGACCTATCTCGCTCTGAATGAGGAACACACGAAACAGCAGCCATTAACTTATGGCGTGGCGTGGTACTAAATAAGCTTTACCGTGCAGCCACGAATCTGCTCATCAAGAAAGGACTAAACTTTGATCCTCCCAAAAGACCTATTGCCTTATTGTGGCTGGGAGAGTTCGTGGGTGTCGGATTGCTAGGTACACCTGGTAGTTCAACTCATACTCCTCTGGCAAGGCCACCTAAGCTGAGGAGTTCGACTCGGAAAGCCCAAGTAAGAGTGAACCATACCACGATTGACCGCCGTCCTGATAGCTACTAGCCGTCAGGTTGTACTCTCGCCCTAATCCACAAGGGCCAGCGACTGCTCCAGTGGTGCCGAGCTGAGGAAGCCCCGGTTGCGCTTACCTCGAGGCTTCAGAAAAAAAAAAGCTAAACAACATATTTCGATGTACTCGGATCCGCACCATTCGTGAAGACGCCCCTTTCAAGAGATAGTCGTGATGGTCGAAAATCAAGAACACCTTTCCACAAGGTAAGGCTATCCGAAGAGAAGCCGGACACTTGAACGCGCTTAAGGACATCCGGTGGACGAGAGCCGTTACCGACTGGATTCCTCGGGATGCCAAGCGCTCTACAGGAAGACCACCCACCGACTCGATGGTCCAATTTTTCCACAAAAAGCCTGAGGAGAAAAAGATGATGGTCAACAAATTTTTGGAGCGAGGAGGACCCATTGAGCTACACTTGCACGTGACAAGAAAAAAATGGAAGTTTTCGTAGGTGCACGCTCGAACCACTCGACGACCAACGGGTCAACAGGTGACAGAGGTGATGGATGGCCGAGCCTAGTAGAGAGTTGATCCTGGAAGAGTCATGATCTATAAAGAAACCAAACCTATATTAAAAATCCTGCGATACATAAACTGGAGAAAATCTATAGAAAACACGCCACATTCAAGCCTCCCCCATACAAACAACAACAGCTCAACACACCACTAACAAAATAACCAATGTTACTTGAATTATAAAGCTGATACACATGAAATCGGACTCCAACGCCAACTTATCGACTGATTTAGAACTTCTATGTGCCTCGACAGATTTCTTTTATGCCTTTTCGACGTCTATACGGTCAAAGGAAATCCTAAAACGATATTTCGAAAAACAGTCGATAAAACCGCAGTTTTACATGATTAATAAAAAGCCGAAAGCTATCGACTCTAAGCATTTCTTGGTGTCCCCATCTCTATGCTGGGACCGTGGCTCGGGAGGTGGCCATGACGCGAAACCTAGGTGAGCGCAGACCTATATAAACCTCAAAAAGGCTTAAGACAAGTCTATCGAAATATACTGAATACCTATGCTTTCGAACCGAACCGCAAACTGCCACGATCGATAGGGAAGTCAAACCTACGTGATAACATTTGTCTTTTACAAGCCCTGAAGGAGGGCTGTGACCGAATGGCTGGTGATGCAGGCTACCAGGAAGCAAGATGTTGCGGTTCGACCCCTTCCTACTCTCCTGTAGTCAGTCGAACGAACGCCCTACGGAGCACCTTAGCTCTTTCACTGAGAGTACAAGGAGATCTGTCCGACCAGCATTCTACGTGAATCATGAAGAAGCAAGCCTCATGGAGCGGCCGGCCGAGCAAGAGACAAGATACGAGGTGTTCGAAGACTTTTGATGTGGGCGGATACAAGAAAACGATGGA